TCCTGTGTGGGATCTTTCATTGGTCCTCGAGGCCCTGAAAGCTTTTCCATTTGAACCACTGGACTCCGTGGGGTTGAAATATCTATCACTAAAAACCGTTTTTCTGATTGCACTGTCGTCAGTAAAACGTGTGGGGGACCTGCACGCGCTGTCTGTCAGCGCATCGTGTCTGGAGTTCGGGCCGAATGACTCTAAAGTCATCCTCAGACCTAGACATGGCTATGTCCCTAAAGTGATGGGCACTCCATTCAGAGCGCAAGTCATTTCACTGTCAGCTCTGCCAGCATCTGACAGCGAAAGTGATGTGAATCTCCTCTGCCCTGTTAGGGCGCTGAGGTTTTACATTACGCGCTCCGCCTCCTTCAGGCGTTCGGAACAGCTGTTTGTTTCGTTTGGAGGGCGCACCAAGGGTCTCGCCTCCTCGAAACAGAGCCTGTCCAGATGGATAGTGGACGCTGTAGCAGCCGCTTACGCGTCAAAAGGTCTGCAATGCCCTTTGGGTATCAGGGCTCATTCCACGAGAGGCGTTGCCTCGTCGTGGGCGTGGTCCAGTGGGATCTCTATCCATGACATATGTGTAGCGGCGGGCTGGAGCTCCCCGTCTACCTTTGTCAGGTTTTATAACCTAGAGGTTCCCGCCTTGCAGGCTAAACTTTTGTCAGTTTGAAAGGGATGTGTATTCTGCCCAGATATTCTGCTCAGATCACTCTCACGTGACTCAGCTCTCCTGGTTGAGCTGCACCAGTAGGGTATGTGCCATGTGCCTATACAGACCACCGCGCTGCTCTGTATTCCCTATGTGTGCTTATATACAAGTGATGGCCCGCATGGCTGGCCACCTTATTTTTCCCACTTATTGGGCTCCCCTGAAGTTCGGGGTCTCATGGTGGATGCTTGGCGCGCACGGCGTTGACAAAGTGTTCCCGTAGCGTAAGCTAAACTTACGCAATACGAGAGAACCTCTCGTAAGAGAACGATACTCGGTTACTAACGTAACCTCGGTTCTCTCTAGAGAGGGAACGAGTATTGCGTAACCGGCCGTGCTCGCGCCACGAGCGACTTCGCTTCAGTTGTCGAAAAACCAGGGAATTCAGCCTACGAGCCCCTTCTTTTATACGCTAAGCCACGCCCATTCTGGCGGGCTGTGACGCTATGAAGGCGCGAGCGCCCTTCATTGGGCGTGACGTCACGCCGGGCTCACTGGTAGGCTGCAGCAGTTGCCTGCAGGGCAGCCAATGAGCACGCTAGACTGCCTGCTCTAGGTCTGCTAGCTGCTGCACTGCGTTGACAATGAATACAAAATTAGGATAATTTTTTGGCTTCAATATCTCGAGAAGATGAATCTTTCCCGTAGCGTAAGCTAAACTTACGCAATACTCGTTCCCTCTCTAGAGAGAACCGAGGTTACGTTAGTAACCGAGTATCGTTATGCAGCCACTTTTATAAAAAAAAAAAAGTTTTGTCAGCATTGCGATTCTCTTTTGTACACATACAAACTTGAATGGGCGTATGCACGTTTAAACACAATTTAATCAACGTATACAGGCCTATAATTCCATGCATTACTTCTCTATATATTTAGTTGCTCAAGTAACTGGTAAAATATTTAACCATGCAAACATTTTAAAATTGACAAAAACAGCCGACTCTAATGCCTTTTCTTTTGCATTTAAATTTTAATACAATAAATCTTGCATGTCACAAAGAACTTGTTTTTCCACCTCCACGAATGAGACGAGTGTCGTTCATTATTATGTCCTTGTTGGGTTAAATTGTATTTTTCCTTGCTTAACCCTGGTCTTAAAGTATAAAAGATGACTGTGAAAAAAATTTAATTAAATACATTTATGGTGAGACTACTACATTTTATTGAATTAAATGCATTTATGGTGAAATTACTACATTTTCAGGTCAATCTGTGTTCATTTTGACCACGAACCGTGCGCTGTCGCTTTAATTCAGCGTTTATTCACTGAAATTGCAAAGTGATTCTCTATTCTCTCTGCCTGGTTTTCTTTACATTAGTGCTGTTTTGGACAGATTGTTTTGGATTGTTCTGGATTATTGGACTGAAAACTTTCCCGGAGTTTAGCTGCTTAAAATGATCTGGTCTCAACAGAGAAGTGAAATTGGGTTAAAGGGTCAGAATAGAAATTTGCGCCTACCAGGGTAACAGGTGCATTGTTGATGCTGCGATAAACTCCTGACTTCTAAGATCATCTAACTGCGTGCCATAAATGACGTTATTGATGCAATTTCACGTGCTTAAGTAATTTATTTTCATTAAATTGTTTTAACGCGTTAAGGATTTTGAATTAATCGCATGCTTTAATGCGTTAACATTGACAGCCCTTTTAACACATCTCATCAAACCTACAGTATATAAGGGTAAGTTTACACAACAATTACTCCAGTCTTCAGTGTCACACGATCTTTTAGAAATCATTCTGATATGCTGATTTGGTGCTCAAATAACTATTGTCAATGTTGAAACCTTTACTGCTTATTATTTTTGTGGAAACCGTGATAGTTTTTTCATGATTCTTTGATGAATATAAAGTTTAAAAGAAAAGCTTTTTTTTTTTTTTATCAGTATATACATTTTATTTATCCACCCCTATTTTTTTTTTAGATACATCATGTATCATGGGTTGAAAACCCCAATTCGTTCAACCATTCTTAATTTATATAGATGGATTATAAGCAAAGATATGTGCATTTCAGTGTTATCGCTGCATTTTTGGTCTGCTATTCCCTCAATTTTCCTCTCTGAAGGCCAGCAAAACTTAATTATTCCTTCAAGCCTGAATTAAGTAGATGAGTGTGGAGGAGGGGTGAAGATCGAACCTTTTTATGCACCAAATGAAGTCTGGACACAAGCGTGTGAGGAGATTGATGGCCAATCGACTGGCGCTGTAACTCGAGCCCGGTGGGGGGAAGCCCGGGATATCCATCACTCCAAAGGGTTGCCAGATTGAGCACCAGCCATCCATCATATGCTGACCATGAGCACCACAGCCCTGACTGTGCAAATAAGAGTCAATCAAGCAACCCCTGACACGGCACAAAAAAATTCTGCAGCAAGAACAACACACAAATGACAATCAGCTCTTCACTGGTCTGGCAAGGTTTTCTAGCGTTGTTGAACACGTAACTGTTGTTTGGCTGTCATTATGGAGAATATAGGAGAAAGCAGCAGGGTGATAGACAACCTCTGCTGGCCCACTGAGCTTATTCTGAGTATTGATTCAAATGCAGAGGGTTCCTTCATCTGTTGATGGCACAGTCCTGACAAATCCAAATAAGAAATTTAGCAGATTCCTTCCTTTGATCATTTTTGTTGAAATTGCCAGATGTAGGAGATTGAAGAAAGCTGTAGGGGAACATGATCCGAATGTCATGGTATTTCATGATTTTGATTTCATTACTATTGGTGAAAGCATTTATCATTGTTACCATGACAACGTAGCAGGTCATGGATCACTGGTAAAGCTTGTGTGGGCCTGGAAGGTTTTGGCACAGCAGGGTCGGTTGTGACTGGTGTGCAGGAATGAAGGGAAGGATAAAGTGAAGATGCCAGATGAAAGAGAGGAGAACTCTCGTCCTCATTCTGATTATTGCTCTGAAGTGGGAGTTCCTCACACCAGTGATTTCCCCTATAGGAACAGATTTCAGCAACCCTGTTTTTTATGAAGCTATGCAGTAATCTAACTGATTATTTAAAGTCGTTTTTATCTTATATGTAAGAAATTTGAAATGGAACCTAAATGTATTCAAAAGAAAATCATCATGAAATAATTAAAATATAGCCTATGGCCGTCTCTTTATGACATCTCTAGATTTCATTCTGTAAATTTCATCAACCATGGACGTCTTTCAGTAAGTGTATATTTAAAACATGACATCACATTCAATTGTGACAGTGGTATTACATGCTATACTTAATGATCTGAAACACTTTTTTTAAAATAGTCTTTCTACATGTAGTTTTATTAACCGAGTTGCTAAACAGAATATGTATTATTAAAAAAAAAAAAATCATATAAATTATACTGCTGGACAATATAAGTGAATTGCATTTTAATGGGTGGTAATTAAAATGGTGCATAAACAAAGTTGGTTTGTGATTTAAAATGTAGAGAGACATCTAGTGGTAGTGGACTGTATACGTATTTAAAATCCTTTAATTTGACTTTTTCCCTTTTCCTCTTCCCTTCTAGTTTATTCCATGGAAACATTTTAATGTTTAAAGTTTGTGTTGTTTGGAGGGAAGTTAGTTGTTTCTCTCACTCTGTCTGGCACAACCTCTGCAGTTTCTGTGGGTGGACTTTAAGGTCAGCTTTTCTGAGGCATTTATGGTGTGGACCATCACCTAATTATAGACTGAGGAAAGATAATATTTTATGTAATTAATAGCAATGTTGCATTATCTGATAATATATATCCCGCTAAGATGTATAGGCAGTGGACCGTGAGTGATATTTAAGGCGTGTTTATGTTCAGCGTAAACTTTTATGTCTGGTATTTGACATGTGATTGACACCTGCTAGCCACTCCATGTTTGACGACCTGCTATTCTCAAACACCACTAAGATGATGGGACAGGAAAGTCCCCCTCCGTGAGTTGTAATGTGTGGTGTCAACTTTCGACAGATATAGGGCATGCGCACATTGGTCGCCACATCGGTCAGGATTGATCACATGGAGTTAGCCATCTCCAGGAAGATTTCATTAAAAATACATGACATAGGAGCTAAAAGTAAAATTCATATTCTGGTTATTCAATCTCAAAATATGTTTTGAAGATGGAGTTCCACATCCATTATATATTTTTGGCATTTAAACATGGGAGGGAGTGAGGGAGGGAGTCTGTTGTACATCTGAGACAGTGTTGAGATCTGATGTAGCGTTTGGCAGATTCCAGCTGTATCATTTACACCACTTTCCCATACTCTCTCTTTATGCTTTCTCTTCTTTTTGTACCTCTCTTCCTTATACAGCTGCTGTGCTGAAATATGAGAATAATGTCATGAACATTCGACAGTTTAACTGTTCCCCTCATCCTTACTGGCTGCCTAACTTCATGGATGTCTTCACTTGGTCTTTGCCCTTCGTTGGGGAGAAAGGTAAACCATTTGCCTTCAACAGATTTTATGTGGCATAAAATCCTCAATAAGTGCAGCGAACAAACTCTCTATTTTTCTTGTTCCCCGTAGTGACTGAGATGCTGGTAAATGTCTTGAGCATCTGCTCCAATGATGAGCTGACCACTGATGAAGAGATAGATGGTAAGAAATTACAAGCACATGCAAAGCAAGCACATGCGTCATCCTGTTTCTATATAACATTACAGGAAGTTTGAAAGTAAAGTGCATGGTTGGGTTCACAAGGGGGTACTCTCCATCTATTCCTTCTAAATAAATCTGGAATATTACTGGACCATTTGCCCTTAAGTTATTTAGATGCTGCTGGTCTTACAACTCAAAGGGACCTGATTCTTTTATGTAGGGGAAAAGTGTCTGCTAAATGACAGTCAGTAGCTAGCTGATGTTTAAATCCTGTGCAAAGCATACCAACAAAATGTAAGACGTTAATAGACTCACTTATACACATCAGCATGAAATGCACCATATGGAGCACCTTTCTGTTCCTAACAGCTTTTATGTCAAATTTTAAAGGTGCAGTATGTAATATTGACAGCTAGTGGTTGAAATGGATACTGCAGTCAAAATTCAATTCCAAGTTTTGGAGAGAGTTGTTTCCACCGTGCCCTCCTCAGATTCAGTGCACACTCGGGTTGCCGGATTGAGAAGACGCAACGGGAACGAGCACACTTGACAATGGAATGCGACAAGCCTTACACTGTACGTTGATCAGCTAATGTATAAATGTTTTTTATTGATGAGGTCAGATAGAATCTGCGATCTTGACCCAGTTCGCTTGCTGGCTTTCATGGCCACAATATGCTGTGTCACCAACTGGCAACCCAGGATGTCGAAATACTATTGAGTAAATTGGCAGTGGGTGGAATCACACAGACAAAACACAAAAACAGACATTCAAAAAAGGAAGCATTGTTTTGTAGCATTTTTTTTTTCCGGAGAAACAAGTATTTGAAATTTTAGCACGTTCTAAAGCATCTCAGCAAACATATTGCATACAAAAAATGACATACAGTACCTTTAAGGTATAAGCAAAATAAGATTCAGTAGGACATATGTTAAAACAGGTACAGAATATTATAATATTTAGAATGTAATAAACACAGATAGTGGGTTCCAAATGTCTGAGATTTCTGATGTCTGAGATACGTTTTTTTTTTTTTTTTTGAACTTTATTCATAATTTAATTTTTTTCAATACATAATTTTTTCATCAGCATAATTTCAAAGTGAAATTTGTATTCATTTCAGAATATAGTTTTGCTTTATTGACAGCAGAGCGTGTGGAAGCAAGAACATCTGAGTTAGAAATGTTAGTGCAGAATTTTAAATATTTCTAATTAATTTTCTAATTATACTTTGTTTGCATTTTTTAATTACAAATGAAAAAGATTATTCAGTGTGGTCTCAGACTTTTAAATGAAATAATCAAAGAGCAAAGACTTGGATTATTACATTAAATATACAATTTTGTTTTTTATCTTTTTCTACCATACAGCCATGGTAAGAAAAAAAAATGCAATTAATTGCCATTCCAAATAAACATAAACTGTCAGATGACAAATAAACGATTGACCAGAAATCTTTAAGGAGTTCACAAACTTATAAACACTAACATTGAGATGCTCTGATGCTACACTCTCACTCTCTCTGACAGTTTTTTTATTTTTTTTATCCATTTAATAATCTTTATTTTGTTTCTCTTTTGTCTTTTCTTTTTCTCACTCATTTTGTCCATCTCTTTCCCTCTCAATATTGCTTCATCTAATGAATCTCTTTCTCTTTTTTCAGAGTTCTTTAAAGCATTTCTTCTCTTTTATTTCTTTTGATGGATGCGCTTTTTTGCCACTTTTCTCTCTCTTTCTCTCTATGTCATTCCTCAGCCATTCATTGATCATTCTTCTGTTCTTTTTCTGTTTCTTCTGGGGGTGTATCTTGAGAAGGACAGCTAATATATGGGCCCAAGAAAGGTACAACCTCCATGACATCCAATGCTGTGTCATGCCTCTTGTTTGTACCTTTTTCTAGTTGGTTGATTAAGCTAACACCAAAAATTCACTAATGAACCTACTTATACTATCCATAGGTACTAATTCTTTTGTTTCATGCACCCTGGTCACCATGAACTGGATGAGTAGTTGACATCGTTTTTCAAACTATTAAAAGGCCATTGCTAGTTGCGTGTGAATTCCTTGCACTGTTTGAAAAGACAAGAATTTTGTTTACTAAGTGGGGTGAGTATGCAATCAGGCAGACCACTAACATTTTTCTGAAATTAGAAGACACCGATGTGAGTATAAGAGTATGTGAACCTTATAAATTGTTTTGCAGTTCTTAGAACCTCAACACAGTGCCTTCATCTTTTATATTCTCTCTATATTCTCTTTTTTTATCTCTCACACCAATTCACATCACATTGTCATCATTTCCTAATTTTTTTTTGCCATTTTCCTTGTTTTCCACCACTGTATAAATACAGTAATCCCAAAATGTATTTAAACTAGTGATGTGCAAAATGACATACTTTAAAAAAACAACTACTCAGTTGGTTGCTTGAATGACTGGTAAACTAGTATTAAACAAGCCCTGGATAACTAGCGTGGTCGACCATGGTTCCTAGGGGTCCTTTACATAAGTTTTTATGTACAAAAAAGCTGGACAGAGCTTAACAGTATGTAACAGAATGTGGGGCTCTAGAAAGCGTAACTCTTTTTAACTCGACACAATAAAGTTGACATTTGTTGTAACACAGCAGCCTAAGATGTCTTTCTGATCATTACGTGATCAGGGGCTGTAACCCCTGCTTAAAATTGTGAAACTATCTAAAAATCTAAAGTGAATTGACCTCACTAATCAAATTTTTTGAATGATGTAACTCCTAATTTGGACACAGAAGCCACACTTAAAAGTTAAATAAGTTTTAACAGTGACTACATTTTAGGGCCGCTGTATCACCAAATTTTAAACAAATATAACATTCATTCAAACACTCAAAAATCTCTGTGCTGCAACCTGTTCCTATGCAAGACACTCCCTTGTATTGCTATTTTCTCATCACACTGTTGTCTATAATCTTACCTTGACGAACTAGGTAGAATCTCAATTAAAACCAACAAGGTTCTTCTCTTTAGCATCTGTATAGGATGGCACTATGATTAACCAAACCATATCCATATCCATGACTGTAAGGATCGATAGCAGGCTAACAGAATGCTTAGCATGCATTTCAGTCCTGAGATGTGGGCCACTGTGAGGATCTCTATTGATCTGCCCTTAGTGTGCTGAAACAGCACGTTCTGCCAACTGAGTTTCCCCTGCAGTGATTATACTCCAAAGGAAGTGTTCACCCAATGAATTCATTTGTCTTTCTGGACATTAAAGGCAGGATGTAATTGTGGCTTGTGAACGTTTGAAATTGTGAGGTTTGGAGATTAAGTGGCTGGTTGTGTTTTAATGAAGTGGCTCTTCAAGCATGTTTGTAAGCGACTCTTCAAGCATGTTTGTTTTTGTTTGTATACTGTTATGTAACACTGACATATATATTTATGTGTATGTGTGTCACACAGGTGCCACAGCTTCTGCGCGCAAGGAGGTAATCCGAAACAAGATCCGTGCCATTGGAAAGATGGCTCGAGTTTTCTCGGTTCTTCGGTAAGATTACTTTGTGTACATGTGCAAAATTTAATTAGACAAAAGTGAGCACATCCTGCAGGCAAAAAGCTCAGTAGGGGTGCTCAATCACAAAAAAATAAAACTGTAACAAAATGGGAAAAGGTTGGCACACCAAAGCTCCATAAATAAAATAAAAAAAATCATTGCATGTTCTCAACAAAAGTGACGTTTCGAGCCATATGTACGGTGGCCGAGAGAGCTCAACGCGCTGCAACTGAAGAAGACGCATGCAAATCGAAAAAACACCAGCAAATTAAGAAAATAACTTATTTAGTTTGACACCACATGTGCTGCAAATACTCACAATGCAGCCAAATACCGAAACGCGAGCATACAATGAGTATTATCTGTACGAACATACAATCAGGATGTTAAAATAAACAAAAATCTCAGCTTTCGGGTCATCAAAAACACCACTGACGAGTAGACATTGACCAATAAGCATGTCCCAGCCAGGTTCGTCACATGTTGGGGTCCCCTTGAAACATTTCCATTGTGGTCTGTGCTATTTGCAGCACGTTTCTGTATATGGTTGTAGTGATCTAGCTATCTAGTAGTGAATATTTAGATTTATGATCTTAAATATTAATATTTAGTATCAATATTAATATTGAGTTTTTGGTCACACGTAACCTAAGGTGAGTGTGAGAGTGTCCTTCCTCTATTACGGGGCACCAGCAAAGGAATTTCATCTTTACAATTAAGAACAATCATGGAAGATTGTTGACTGAATTAGTTTTATAAATTGGAGGAAGTTGGTCATCTGACCAATCTGAAGGATTTGTGAGATATTGTTAACTTGTAGAGCCTCTTACCTTATCACACGGAATTAACAAAAGGATAGACAAGAGTAACTAACAACTACTGAATGGAAAACATGCAAAAAGATTGATAAATGCAAGTGACTGAGTTGGATGTTACTATGGCAGTTACAATAAACAACTTACTTAAACCTTACTGCACCTGAACAGAATATCACAAAAAAATCCATTATAAATTATTAAAGAGAAGAGCGAATATCAAACTGTTCACTGAGACCCATTAGGTTATACTGTGTCCAAAGTGTAAATACAGTAAGTTTCATGCTTTAAACCCAAATTGTTAATTTCACACCTTCTTGAAGGCAAGTTTACTGCTTCTATGCCAATATACAGACTTGTGGAATCCCAATGTCTCAACTTAAAAAAGTATTTTGCTACTGGATTGCACTTTGATGTTCAGAGATATGGATTTTAAGCTGTGTGCTAGTTTTGCCAATGTAGCAAAGTCCACAAGGGCAAGTCTTACAGGAAATCATTCCTCGGATCTTAAATGTCTTCCCAGTACGAGTATGATTAAAGGTTTGTGTTTTGTAAGTAAAATTTGACCATCATTATGGTACTGCATGTATACATATATGTTTGTAATTTATTTTTTTAATCAGGTGATGTAGTCATGTTGTCTAATATATTGTGTATTGGGGCCTAATAATTAGACGAAGAGCCATACGATTCGAAACATCACTTTTGGTGATAATGTGCAATAAATAATTTCTGTATTTATGGAGCTATGGTGTGCCAAATTTTTCCTTTTGTACAAATGCAAAATGAAAACTAGTAGAACAAGTGTCAATCGCGAGTAGAAACGCATTAGGTCATATACAGTAGTTACTTTGCTAGTAGCTATAACTTCATATGGAAAAAAAAAATCTGACTCTTGCTTATGTAAGTGAAGTCAAAGACCTGCAAACCATCTACTAAAGAAAACATCTGTCACAGCTTTTACCATTGTTGAAGAGTTAATCTGCCTTTCCTATTAATCTTATCAGGTACGATTGTTTCGACCACTATTGAACTTACAAATTGGTTGTGAATCAGCTGTTACCCTCCACTTATTTAAAACACATTACTGTCAATAAGTGCAATAATTTGCAATAATTATAAAATGATTATTTAGGACATAATTATTCATAACCGGCATTTTTACAGAAATAGTGTTGTTAAATTATTTAAGTGGGAAAATATCGGAAATGTTCACCTTGTGCTCATAGTTTTGAGTAGAATACATCACATTCGAATTTTCTCCATATGCATTTGATCGGAACTCTGCGCAGATTCTGTACTACTCTACATTGGAAATTAATAACTTCTGCTCTGTCATTTGTCAGAGATAGTGAAAAGGCAGCTTTACTATCAGAAATGTATCTAGTAAGTTTTTTATTTTAAATAACCAATACAATAAAATATGAGAAATTAAAGATCACCAAATAATCTGCAAAATAATTAATTTATACTCGGGGGAAAATATTTTCTGATATAAATATAAAGTTTATTAAAAGAAAATCGTTAAGTAAGAAGGTAAACTAAATTATTTTGTCATTGGCAGGTATTGTGTACGTTTTTTTTACTTTGTTTGGGTTGTTTTTTTTTTTTTTTTTTTTTTTTATCTTTGTGTGTTAGTATTGTGGATAACAACATGTTTCTTTTGCAGAGAAGAGAGTGAGAGCGTTCTGACGCTGAAAGGTCTCACTCCGACTGGCATGCTGCCCAGTGGCGTTCTATCTGGAGGCAAAGAGAAACTCCAGAATGGTGAGAAGCGCACACACACTCGTCTTGTGGTCAGGAATATGTAAATCACTTTAATATTTCTTTCCAAATCAGAGCTCTTTCCATGGCTGTCATTTTCACAGTATCAATCAGTAAATTTAGAGATGATTTACATCTTTTAATTTCCCCAGGTAGTGTTTTCATATTTACAGCCGACTCTACTCTATTTCAGCTTAACACATATGTAATGTACAAATATGCACAGTCTGGTATGTTTATTCACTGTATACTCTCTGCACACCCTGGTGGTTGTGTTGTGAAACTTATATTCTTTCCTCTTTGCTTCTTTTCCTTTGGCTTTTATCTCTCTCTCTCTCTCTCTCTCTCTCTCTCTCTCTCTCTCTCTCTCTCTCTCTCTCTCTCTCTCTCTCTCTCTCTCTCTCTCTCTCTCTCTCTCTCTCTCTCTCGCTCTCTCTCTCTCTCTCTCTCTCTCTCTCTCTCTTTCCAATCTTTTTCAAATATTGTCTCTTCTTCATTCTCCTGTCTCCCTAGAAACTGCAGGTATAATCAGTTGTGCAAGTATAATTCAGATCATCTGTTCTTAAGAAACATAGTTTCACTCTTTGCCACCATTTATTCAAAGGAGCCCCAAGTGAATCAACACAAATGCTTTTGTACAAGATCGAATCATGACTCAGGCAACATGTTCTCAGTGCACTTTTAAACCTTAGATTCACTGTGTCCAGATTTAACACCGCTTTTGGTGGACAAGATATCAGTAAGGAATCTTAAAGATTGAAGATGTCTTAAAGATCAGAGAATTTGGCTGCAATTAACATAACAGCAAAACTAGCACATTTAGATTTATTAATTGTTTTATAAGAACAAGACTGCTAAAGGCCACAATATTAAAATGAAATTAGTTAATGGATGCAATTTGATTTCTCATATATTGAGACCAATTGTCTCAAATTGTGATAATATGTTACAATATTATTGTATTTACTGTATTTTTAATCAAATAAATGCAGTCTTAACCAGAATTTTGAACAGAACTGTAATTTCTGTTGAAACTGGAATTTGGGACAGTACAAATAGAAGTGCTTGTCCCTTTTTTCTCAATAAAAAAAAAACATGATTTGCTGATTGCTATTTATAGTCGTTGGAGGTGGTATTAGAGGAAGAGGACATTCTCACTCTAGAGAAAATTATTTATTTATTTAGATATACAGAGTGCAGGTTATGAATATTTTTGTTCCAATTTCCAGAGAAAGTGAAAGACCAAATTTTAATTGTTAAATACATTTTTGTTTTATTTAAATACCTTTTTCCACTTTTTGGAGTGCAATAACATCATCTGCTTTTGATTTTATGGGTTCTCCTTGTAATCATTTTAATACACGACAGTGTTGTGATGCTGGACATAGTGAATCAGAAAGGGAAGAATGTACCTAAAATAACACAATTAAAATTTGTAATGCTGTTTTGTCATCATAAGGAGCCATGAATAAATGTGTAATTTTTGCACATTGTCTAGTGATACTTCATTAAGTCTTATCTTATATCTGTAACATCATGCTCCTTTACACAGAATACACAAAACTGACAAGATGTAATTAAATTTAATTGGTCTTGTCTTTCACAAATCAAGGCAGAAATCAAACTTGCTCTTGTCGTACTGGCATGTTCTGTCTATTACTTCATTTGGAAACATTTGATTCTATGCAGTAATTTCATTGCTTATGTTTTCTTTTAGGTTTAGCTTTAGTTTGAAAAACTAGATTTACTTAAACAATACAACATGTAACCCAAATTTGATATGAGTGGCCATGTTTGCATGTGGCTATCTGGTCTGGGAACATGCCAGAGACAGACTGATGTCAGCGATGTTCTGCTACAACATTGGTAGAATCACAATAGATGCCCCACCCTTGTACATGGAAATCATTGTGCTTTTACTTCAATGTTGTGCCCCCATCACAGCTGATGTCTTTAGTGTTTAGCTTTAATGTGTGTGTGTGTGTGTGTGTGTGTGTGTGTGTGTGTGTGTGTGTGTGTGTGTATCTGTGTGTGTGTGTGTGTGTGTGTGTGTGTGTGTGTGTGTGTGTGTGTGTGTGTGTGTGTGTGTGTGTGTGTGTGTGTGTGTGTGTGTGTGTGTGTGTGTGTGTGTGTGTGTGTGTGTGTGTGTGTGTGTGTGTGTGTGTGTGTGTGTGGTGTTCTGAACTTTTGAAAGTGTATTCTTGTAGTTTTATGATTTCTTGTGATTGTGCTCAGTTGAATGTAGATTGAGGTAAGTTAAAAATAATCATACACAATGCAAGGATGGTGGATTTTCTTGATCTGTAAGCTGACAGAACCTGTTGTTACCAAAAAAAAAAAAAAAAAAAAAAACACAAGATCAAAGTCTTACAAGTGGCTGTTAAAAAAATCCTTGAAGCCAGCTTTTGGGTCACTTCTTCCCCTTGCTTTGGTGTTGTCATTCACAATAAATAATGAAATGTAGTTCTCCTGATATATTATACAGATTTTAAACCAAAGCAATGGAAGACACAATCATTGTTCTCCTTCATATCCCTTTGATTGCTTTGACTGACCATTAAAGTCTGATGTACTTTGGCTTCGTCATTAATTTCCCATTTATGCCATGTCTCCCAAACTCATCTCTCATAGTGAGAGTCAAATCTTTGTCACATTGCCTCATCTGCAACTAACTACCCATCATGTGTGCTGCTCTCTCTCTCTCTCTCTCTCTCTACCCTATTATTTCCCTCCGTCCTGGCCTTGTAGTGGGCCTAGCGTAATTATAATGATGTTGTGTGTCTATTTGGGCTCTTTTGCTGTTCATCTGACTGGACAAATGTAACCTGTTCTCACTCGTTTTGCAATCCCCCTTCTTCTTCTCTTCAGCTACTGTTGAGGCTATAGAGGCAGATGAAGGTAAATAGGTCTACAGCCCCTTCCCCTCTTTCTGTTGCATCTGTGCAGCAGATAAAGGGTTCCACCGGGTTCATCCATGTCAATGTAGCTTGTGTAGTGTGTTGGGTGTTTGGCCAGATTACACTGTACTGTTAGTGTGCTGAGCAGAAGTAGGAAAAGAAAAGACGAAACACACACAAAAAAAGCTATGATTGTTTTAAAGGGGATCAAATCGTTCTGGATGACACAGGTTTTGTTGAAAAAGCTGTGATCAGTCAAATCACAGTAACATAATGCATCAGATTGAAATCACAATAGTTATATTTCAAAATATATTCCAATTGACTATTGGTGTATTTACAATAAGAATATATTTTCTGCAAACACAGTGCTTAAATGTGGCGAAAACACCATTTTGGCCTATTCACAAGTCTAATTAATGTAAAATTGCATTTTTATAACCCTTACTGTCTGAACCCCTGTAAAACAAGGAGCTGTTGTAGTTGTCCTTTGTTCTTGCGAAAAAATTCCTTTTAAATTGCTAAACATTAGCTCTAGACTCAAAACACTCACACATTTGTGGGTCTCCCTCAGTTAAAAAGAATAAAATCCTCAGCAAGAACAATGTCAGCTGCTTGCTAAATAGCAGGTTTGTAACTGCTATTTACATCCTAAGTGTTCTGTGGTTGTTCTTGAACATTTCTCCCTGAGGAAGAGGTGCCAACTGTGTTGATACTCTCATCCATATTTTTTTTCTATTTGTGGTTACTCTGTGACTGTGTCGTGTCCTTGTGTTTCTTTACCGCTAATAACCTATGTCTGACCTCTACACAAATCGTGTTCATTGTACATAGGAGACCCTCTGCTAAATAACTGGAAAGTTACACAATTCACAAAAAACAAAAATATTTGATCTTTGTATTTCCCTGTAGTTTGCTGCATGTTTTCAACAGGTGTAACGTGGGTCCCTTTGGAGAGAACTCAGCGCTGCATCAGAATGTTGACGCTATGGAAGCGCTTCTGCGTGACCGGTTTCTGAAGCATGTGAAATCAAGCTAATTCTATTGGCTGCCAGTAGTCATATGACGTGAAATGGCTCGTCGCATGACTCCAAGTGGTGCCTGCATTGAACCCTTATCAGCTTCTTTGTCTTCAGGAATCGCTGTGTGTGCTTAGGCACAGTTTAGCCTCACAGATCAGAAGAATCCTCAAAACAAAATTTGCAGGCCCTGTCTGTTGCTGTCTCCTGCTTAGAGTTTTCTCAGTGTGGAGTCTAAACTATTCTACATCCTAGGCCTGATTAGGTTCCAATGGTACCTTCCTCAGTTCCACAATCAGTGGTTCTTCAGGCCTTCTGTCCTCTGCTTTTTCAATTTGCAGATCAGGAGAGGCTGAATATTTTATGCCCTTTTTGGGCCCTTAGTATTTATGTCTACCACTCAGGCCAGTGGCGTAAATCAGAACAACTGTTTGTCTGTTTTTGATCACGCAGCAGGGGCTCTGCGGCTTCTAAGCATTCTTTAGCACACTAGATTGTGCAGGCAATTTCTTAGGCTTATGGGGTGCGTTGAATACCTTCACTATTCAGTATTAGTTCCTCAATATTAGTTCTACGGGTTCTTAAGTTCTTGCTCTTTAAGTTTGTCACTTCCTTAGAGCAGGCATCCTTTCAGTATGGCATAGTGGGTATTGACGTTCCCATAGTATCAACATTCAACTGTGTTCTGTTCTCTCAAAAGGGAACGTCTCTTGTTTTGACTATAACCCCGAGTATATTTTTGTTCCCTGAGTAGTGAACGAGACGCTGTGTCTCGTTACCCTAATTCCTGCATGCCTGAGTGTCTTCTATCAGCCAATCAGAAGCTGATGATGTTCAATGCAGTTGCCATTTTATAGTCATGCCACTTTAAGTCATTTTACGTCATATGACTACCGGCAGTCAATAGAATTAGTGTGATTTCACATGTGCTTCACAGACCGGTCATAAGAAAGCGTTCCTATAGGGCCTGTTTACACCTGTCCACTTCATGCGTTTTCTCAGATCGGATAGCTATCAGATCGTGAAAAGACCAGGTGTAAATGCCCTGATCTTGCCAATTGTAAATTGCTGATCTCTCAAACCACATCAGGAGGTGGTCTGGGCTGCATTCCAGATGAAACTGGGCAAGTCTAAATGCATCTGGTTGTTGAAACCACATATTTAAATTGTACTCCTCCCAAAATGTTCGAAAATAACCGTGTGAGAGCATGTTATAGGCTATATGACATATTATAGCCAGATATTACGGCGCTACTGCAACACGCATCGCTGCAGATGAATCTGTGTATCTCTTCAGCAAGCCCATGCGCAAACTGCCGCAAATAAAACAAAGTAAGTCGCAGATGCTCAAAACACAATCATCTTCATTAAAAGTTGTGTGACTAAATGGTCTGATGCCGATCTCTCTCCAATTGTGGTCTTTGATCTTGAAATTAGCTGATGATAAATAAAATGCTGCTCATATCTGTTGCATTCGCTGATGTGAGCTTTTTATATCCGTTTTGCAGAGATAAATTTAAGTGGGCAAGTGTAAACGTAACTGTTTTAACAAATCAGATAGCTATCTGATCAGTAAAAACGCATTAAATGAACAGTGTAAACAGGCCAATAGCGTCAACATTCTGATGCAGCGTCTCGTTCCCTACTCAGGAAACCAAGGTTATAGTCATAATAGGACGTTAGCTTAGCACCAAGTTCCTTGTTAGTGTATATTTGCTAAGTCAGTTATTTATTTTGTGTCTTTTTTTGTCTTTTATCAAGAGTTTTATTTGGTTATTCAAATGATTTCATCCTCTAGCTTTTTATGTATACATCCTCCTTGAACTTTTGTTTTTGAGAGTGGTGGGAAGCTCTGTTCTAGATAGCCAGTGAATGCTCAGGTTTGTGCAGGATATCTTGAAAACGTTCAGTGCCTCATTGAGTGATGCAAAGAATGCTACTTCATTCGAAGGCCCTCCAGAACCGAGACCACCCAGCACTGCCCCAGTAGTCCTACAATTGGTGACCAGTGTGGATATTTTGTTTTCTCTTTATATATCTTATATATTATATCACCTTGCTTCAAGAACTTTGCAAGAAGTTTAGCTTTTTCTCAATATTGGTCTCTCTATGTGGCATAGACATTGTGTGTGTGTGTATATATGATTTGTGAAGTATTCATATGCACAATGTAGTATACTGAATGTTGTATTAGAGTTATAAAATATCACACTTTTTGTAAAGAATTTGTTAGAAAATTGCAACTTAGCTTGAGTGAAACTTTCTGTCATTGGCTTACATATTATTGCAGTTCAACATTGAACAAGTACTGTGTGAACATCAAGCAGTTAAATGACAAAATAAACTAAGGAGTGTGTACATGTTGAACCATCTTCCTTCTTTTCTGCTACAGCAATCAAAGGTTTCTCACCTCAGCACAAGATCAGCAGCTTCGCAGAGGCTAAAGGGCTGGACCGCATCAATGAACGAATGCCACCCCGCCGAAACGCCATGCCCTGTGACGCCAGCCTCAACTCTCTCAATAAGGCTTTGTCGTCCGAGACCAACGGCACTGAGGGCAAGGCCAGCAGTGGCAGCGACAATATCCAGTGATCCTGCATGAATCCCGCATGGTCGCCACAGCGATTAAGCCCCTCCCTATCTTTTTCCATGCCATATATGATGGAGGGAAAGGAAGGATTTGGAGTGTAGAGTTAGAGGAAAGGAAAAAAGGAAGAAGGACAAGAGAGATAAAGGAGAGAGGAGGTGAGGGGGAGAGCAGCATTTCAAACATAATTCAGAGTGACACTTTGGATATGCCTTTAATTTTTTATTTTTTTGGAGGGTGGGGCATAAAAACTATAAAAAGTTGTCGTGGGAGAGGGGATTATCTGGGTTTCGGCATAAAGAATTACAGCAGGTGTCTGAGAGATCTTATGTGAAAAGGCCTTTACTTACTGGACATAAGATTTTTGTTTGTTTCTCTTTTTGTGTGTGTAACTTCTTACTAAATATTTTACGTTTACAAAAATACAGCACTAAAAATGGACAGAACGTAAAAAAAAGTTTTTAACAAAAAGGGTGTATAAACTAAGTAAGGATAATTTATTGATACATTTTTTGCTACTCTTATAAACTAGCTCTATAGTAAATTAGGCAGTCTTAAAAGAATGTTGCAACATTGTTATAATGCCAAAAATGGAACGTTTTATGGTTTTGTACAGATTATGCTTACCTCAGGTTTCTTTGGTGTGTGCTTGGATCCTACTTGTTGTGTAATTGCAAGCTAGCTTGCTGAATATGGATTTTCTTGGAGTTAAAAACTGGAATTTACATTTATCATTTGCATATATGTCTTTGTTTTTATTTGGGTAAATCTGGGGGTAGATTTATTGTGGCTTGCTGGAAAATGTGTGATTTTTTTTTTTTTTCTGCTTTTCAAACGATGAGATCAAACAAAAAAATATATATTAAGCACCTATGTTCTGTAAAAAAAAAAAAAAGAAAGAAAGAAAAAGAAAAAAAAAAGAATGAGAAGGAAAGTGAGAGAAAAGGTGATTGATCTGCCTATGCATGTTTTATAAGACTTAACTAAGAAAATTTGAATTACCTTGGCTGCCAAGGCCTGTTTTTACCTGTAGTGACCTTAGTGGACAAGTCCTGGAAATGTACCGCCATTCTTAGCTATTACGCTTGGAAAAGCTTCAGGCCTTTAACTTGTTTTGTAATCAAAGCATCTACTATTAATATGGATGAGGAATCATGGTTTTAAACAAATGCTTGCATGTAGACCAGTAGTCTGAATTAGCATGTTTAGGTGTCACGTAAACTAAGTTTGTGCTTCTCTAATGTCAAACTTAAAATGCATGATAGCTGTTAGGTTTAGATTATTTATTTTCTTTTTTTTTTTTTTGTAAAGTTGCCACAGACAAAAGTGTAATTTGCATATTATTATTATGATTAATTCTGCTTTGTATATCAGTTTATTATTGCTAAATACTTCACAAAAAATAAACTCCATCAATGTTTTTTTTTTTTTTTTTTTTACAAATGCTTATAAGTGCCCAAGTAATTCACTACACAAAATGAAGCCTTGCTTTTATAATTTAACTTTCAAACTGTTGGCAGATGACGCATGCACTCGCAACTATGAAAAAAGGTATTTTATATTACTGTTCAATAAAATTGTGCATGAAATTCTGTCTTGTCAACAGCTTGTGTGAGTTTTTACTAGGAATGAATAGTATATGATTGCAGACATTCTTGGTACTTTTGCCATGAAAGCATTTCTGTAATGCACTTTAACTAATATTTAGCAGACTTTTGCCTTTTTGATATTGGTCTGAGTTTCCAGAAAAAAAAAAAAAAAATATATATATATATATATAGAAATATTAATAATGCATTCATGTGATGGATTTTGCATCTGCCAAACAGAAGCAAATTTGGCTCAGGGTCCACAAAAGCACTACGAAGGCTGCAGAGCCGACCCTGACCTCCCTGAGCCTAAAATGTTATGTGTGCTACCACAGAAACCGAAACTTCTCGGGCCAGCAGCATGTGTCCAAATTTTAATCTTAACCGTTCTATTTCATCAGAAACTATCTTAAAACAGGGCTTTAAGTGTAAAATACCGATATTGTCCTTTATATTGTCCTTTAAGGGGCCCTCCTACCTGACCCATGAGCCATGGAAACCATTTGCCCATGTCACACAGTCACACCTGACGCCACACAGTCACACCTGACACCCCAGTGCTCCCACTACAATCCTCACTCCTTTAACTAGTACTAATGGAAATGTAATTCCTGATATCAGAAATATACATTGTTACTAGAAAAAGTACATTCTTAATATCAAGAATTCACATTTTAAGTAGTACAAATTTACTTATTGATATCAAAAATGCATCTTGTGAAATAATAAATGCTAAAATGGCTTGCCATAGCATGTCACTGTGCTTTAAATTATAAAAGCAATACTTGATGGTTATTATTTACTGAGGGATGTGCATCCATATTGACCAGCATGTCCACCCAATCAACATTTTAAATGCAATATAGCATACAAATCAACAGTCAATGTAATCATTGTCTTGTTTTAAAAGTATGTGCGTCTATAATGAGGAGTGCCATCACGCCCATATTGTACTGGTCCCCACAGATGTTTTGCTGGAAAGTGCGCGTTTCATTTCGTGCACACGCATGTTAACGCGCGGCGCTGTTATATTTTCCGAGCTGCAGGTTATAAACAAACACCGTTGCCCTTTGTCGTTTATGAAACGTAATAAATAGTTGTATTTCACACTCACTTTTTTTGGCACAAAGTCAGAGAACACAGCCCTGGAATTAGCCGGCATTAGCAAGCAAGACACAGACAGACCAAAAGATGCACTGGCACTGCCCAGCTGGGTTAGGCAGACAGACAGGCAGACTAGAGAGAAAAGCACATCAACTTAAAGTGTAAATTGCAGGTTAAATTGTTCACGAAATAATGCAATGTGCTTACTAAACATAAAGATAAGAACCGCCCACAATTGTTTTTAATGTTTTTTTATACCAAAATGCTGCATATAATATGAAAAGTTGGTACGTTTTACAGTGGTTTTAAGCACGCCCCCTCCCTTCCACTAGGCTGGGCATGACGTCATAAAAGGGACTCCAAGCTTTTACTGTCTATGCCTGGTCTATGCTCCAAGCCTAGAGTTACCGTTAGTCTAAACGGCAAGTAGGCTAGCAGTTATATTGGAGACCTAGCTAGCAAAAATGGTTAACTATTGTGTTTGTGCGGGATGTACGAATACATCAAAAACGGGGGAGAGGCTCCACAAGTTCCCCGAGGACAAACGACTGATTCGTGCCTGTAAGTGTTAGCATACCCGAGGTAGATCTCAGGTATGCAAGCCTGACCCTACCCGAGCACGTTGTGTCCGAGCCCAGCCCGGCCCGACACATTAACTGTAATTATGAGCCCGAGCCCGATTTAAACCCGACCATTTTTTAATACGTGGGTCATTATTATAACTGACGTTCTCAACTACTTTCTATGTTACTTTCTCCTGCCCACAACATTTATGTTTTGTCCCGCTCCCGCCCGCAAAAAGACTTTTTTTCTGTACCTCCAAATACTTTCAAGTTAGCCTACGTGTCGCCACCATACACATCAGCATAAATGCTCCTGATAAATTATTTGTTATTAAAGCATTAACACACAAACCACACTGTTATAATAACATAAAAACAAGCAGGCTAATTTACAGTCATGCATGGTTTGGCATGACTGCGCGCAAAGTGCGCTCCCATAATAATTCCTAAAAAGCTGACATCAGTTCATCGCGATCTCACACATCTCTGTTATTATCAATGAATCTTTAATAATATCTACACTTTGTTTGTTATAATTCGAGGATTTGCCAGCATACAGAATTCATCACTGAACAAAAAGTCAGTTTTGAGCGGTGAGGGAAGTCTATCGTAAATGCTTCTGATTGGCCATTGCGTTCCTAGAAATCAACACATATGTCTGTGATTGGCTACATCGCTCAACGCTGCAAACATGTTATAAATAGAAACTCTGGCCTGTAAATCGTTTCTATTTTGTTTTAGTTGTTCTTGTTGCTTTTCTGCAACAGATGAATAAAAATGTATTAGTTTTTATGTTTTATTCATAGATATTTCTAGTTTGCGGGAGTACCGCGAATCGTTTTATTCTCCCTCAACCCGAACACACAGAGTGAGTGCATTACCGCCCGCGCTCCCTCTTATGACGTCATCACCCAGTTTCTGTAAAAACATGCTACCTTTGACGAAACCCCAATAAATGTTATTTTAACGCATTTTAAGACAGAAATTTTTAAATATATACATATTGAGCACTTTAATTTACACATTAATTGGTTGTGGTGGTTAACCTGCAATTTACACTTTAACTTTACTGTTCTTTGCTGACATCAAACTTGGAGAGTAGAGAACACAAGTCTACCTGATTGCTGTTCCCGCAATTCACTCTCATGGTGTTTTTTTCTTCTTCTTTTTTTCTCTCTCTCTCTCTTTTCGTGACCAGAAGGATAGTTCCGCTTAATTTTCTCATCAATGGTGTAAACTTTGATTGACGCGTTTGACACGAGGGGGAGGCGGGGCCTTCAGTAATTTGCGGGGGCCTACCATAGAGGGCCCTACGCAACTTGCGTAGTGTGCGTAAAGGGCTGATCGGCTATGGCTGGAGGCCATGAATATTGGACAAGGAATAACAACCAAATAGGAAATGAGCACTTGGCAGCCCCATGACCATAAGGCGTTTCTTTCGAAAGACATGATTAAGTTATTTGATAAAAATCTGGCAACACAAGAGGATGCATTTCAAGCCATTATGAAAACACCTTTGCTGAATAGGTGGAAAGGAAGTTTATGTGAGGTAGTACAGTCTGTTTCCTTTAAAAACAATAGCTGAACATAACATCAGTGGATGTGATTTTAATTTTCATCAAGTAAGGCATGTAATATGATTTCATGGGAGCCTGACCTTGGATTATCTCTCATCTGAAAGGTGTTCTTGTGAAAATATTCATATTGATGATATGCATTGGACTCCTTATTGTATCAAATGAATTCAGGTTTTGCAGAGCATTAACTGTTTACTCCGAATGAGTGTGTTTTTGAATTTCCCTTTCCTGTATATTTGTGAGACACAATAGAGTAGGAAGGAAATAGATTCTCACATCCTGTTTTGGGATAAAATGGATTTAAGAAACGTTCTGCTAAGGAATCGACCTTGTCTTCCTAGGATTGGTGATGTGGCCATTTAATGGATTAAATGGATGGTTGTAGAATTTCAATCTTTGTTAAGTAAAATTAATTTATTTATTTCCTATATTTTCTGGGTTTGATTGGTTTGATTTAACAATAAATTAGAGAGTCTTTTAAGGATTATGACACTAACAATCATGCTGTTGCAAATATCAGCAGGTAATAAAGCACAACCCTACCAGCACAGTACTGAGGAGGCATCATTGGTCATACATTTTCATAAGGGCAAGAAGCCTACAAGATATAGAGCAATGAGTAAAATGTGTTCTAATGATGACTGATTGGAAAAACCTGGCCTATATTTCAAGAGCTGCACAAGAGATGACATATATTAAATCATTAAGAGACGGATGAACTGTAGGAAATAAACAATTAGTAATTCAGGAAAATAAACAATTTCAAAATAAGAAAATGTTATGTAAAGGTAGTTTGACTTCCCATTGGACTTTGAATTAGAACATTCTGTCAAACTTATAAGGTTCCAGGTGCTTAAAGGCACAATATGTAAGATTTTTGGATTAAAATAT